TACCATCCATGCCACAATGACTTAGAAGGGAAGGCGAGAGGCCAGTGGGCGCCAAATTTTGGTGTCACGCAGAGCGCTGCTGAAATTTGAAAGTCCACCGTCCACCAGTGACCCAGGGCCTCTACTCAGCCAGCCATGAACTTCACTGGAGTGGCAGGTCACTGATCCTCTAGGGAGATAACCCATGTTCCCATAGTTCATACACAAAAGGGGCTTTTATACAGGGAGGAATAGGGCCACGTATGCGGACTGACAGGTGTGATGAGCGTACCGGAGGTCACAGGATATAGGATGCAAAGCTAGGTAAAGGTAAAGATAAAGGGACTCCTGACCCTTAGGTCCAGCCGTGACCGACTCTGGGGTTGCAGCGCTCATCTCGCTTTATTGGCCGAGGGAGCCGGCGTACAGCTTCCGGGTCATGTGGCCAGCATGACTAAGCCGCTTCTGGCGAACCAGAGCAGCGCACGGAAATGCTGTTTACCTTCCCGCCAGAGCGGTACCTATTTATCTACTTGCACTTTGACATGCTTTCGAACTGCTAGGTTGGCAGGAGCAGGGACTGAGCAACGGGAGCTCACCCCGTCATGGGGATTCGAACCGCCAACCTTCTGATCAGCAAGTCCTAGGCTCTGTGGTTTAACCCACAGCGCCACCCGTGTCCCAGGATGCAAAGCTACGATTGGTCAAATCTTCTTAGTCTTTGTGCAGAGGGTCACATGGCTCTCCTCCACAGCATCACCAGCGTAACGGTTCTTTCTCTCCCCATTATTGGGGAGCACACAGGTGAAAAGGACCGTGAGCCCATGGGGCAAAGCAGGGGGCATGCAGTCAGCGCCAGCCTCACCCACCCATCAACACAACCTCCATAACAGAGAAGCATCGGAAGGCAGCCCTCTAGCAACCACACCATGTTGGATTTCATACAGGAGGAAGTTAAGAAGAGGGCTGAGAAAACCCTGAGATTTGAGGCACATCTGGATATCTGGAGGGATCAGGTATTGTTGATGAGTTGTTGTTGTTGTTTTGGTGGTGTTGGGGGAGTTTGGATGAGGTCCTGGCAGAAATGCAAGCTTCCAACTTCCCGCCTTTGCTCAGCTCCCTCAACGCCTCCAGAGACAGGTGTCAGCGCCCAAATCCTCAAACCAAAATATCACACCTACACACACACACACACAAACAGAAGCTTCTGTTCAAGATGCCCCCCAATACAGCCCCGGAGGCGGGAGTGAAAATGTTTCCAGGAATAGCAGCTGAAGAAAGAAACGTGCCAAGCAAAATCTGGACAGTCTGTGCTAGGATGATCAGGGGGCTTGGGAAGAGGGAAGCGGGTAGGGTGGGGAGAGCAGAGTTGTGGCACGGGGGGTGGGGGAGAGGAATCCACCATTTCCAGAGGTCCCCCTTCCTTGCTTCTCGATGCCACCCTGCCAAGCGCTCTACCTTTCCCAAATGCCAGAGGCATGGCGTGTACAGCGGCTGGGACAGAGACAAAATGTCACTCGCCAGTTGGACGGCAACTGCATTATAATCAGGCAGCCAATTAATAAGAAAGAGAGATATCACATAAAACTATTATAATTCCTTTTCGCACGCCCCCCCTGCTTCGCGGCGGGGAGCCTGGGACTGCCTTTCAGGTGGCAATGAGAAGTTGGGGTCAGGCGGGGCAATGGGCAAAAGTGGTCCGTATCCCATCCCCCTGCTGTTTATCTGCTTAATTAAACTCTCTGTTCTCCAGTCTCTCGGCCCCTCTTGCTTCAGAAAGTGACAGATAGCGGAGAAAATTAATGGCTGCAAAGGGAATTAAATTGATCCTTTTTCTCACTGCGGTTCAGAGGGAAATAAACCCGTAAAGGCCTGATACTGGGGCCTGTGATGTTAACACCAACGCAGCCGCCAGCAGACGGATTGTCCAGGAATAAGTTCCAGTGCCCCCTAGAGGGGAAAGACACCGCCCCAAATCCAAGTTTCTCGTAGCGTTTTTTGCACGTGGCCTGAGCACCATTCATGCCAGTGCATGTGTGAATGCGGTTAATGCAAGAGGGGAAGTGGAAAAATAGGTGTTCAGTGTACATTCTAGCCAATGCACCTTTTGCATTCACATAAAAAGAGGTAGGAAAGGTATTTAGAGTCGTGTGCAAACCCCACTATGTAGAGATGTTTTTTATATATACAGTGGTGCCTCGGGTTAAGTATTTAATTTGTTCTGGAGGTCTGTTCTTAACCTGAAACTGTTCTTAACCTGAAGCACCACTTTAGCTAATGGGGCCTCCTGCTGCCGCCGCGCCGCCAGAGCACGATTTCTGTTCTCATCCTGAAGCAAAGTGCTTAACCTGAAGCACTATTTCTGGGTTAGCGGAGTCTGTAACCTGAAGCGTATTTAACCTGAAGCGTATGTAACCCAAGGTACCACTGTATATAAAAAGCTGTCAGTGTGGAAATAATGTGCTCCTAGCTTAAGGATTATGAATCTGAATGCAGAATGAATTAAATCTACATGCAATCACTAAAGGAACATCCTGATGAATGAAAATGGCAGTTTTTCAAATATGACATTTTTAAAAAAGACAAAACAAAATGCCACCGCTCGCTTTCAGAGAACAGAAAGCCATCTTATTTCTGACAGTTTTGCGAAGGCAGGTACCTCGCTGCCTTTCTTTGAGTTATGAATTTAACTGTCAAGTTCAGAGATAACACAAGCTGACACTGTAAATGTTCTTCCAATCAGTCAGACGTTTGGGGCTCAGACTTTTAAAGCCGAGCAGAAGCAAGAAATATGTGTGGCTCTTCTCCGCAATGGTAGCAATGCTGAACACTTGCTGCAAGGTCCAATTGTGACTATGAAATATACAGGGTTTTCTTTTAAAACCTGTGCTTCACAGTCCTTTGCTCAATCCAAGGTCGTTTCTGAAGCACAATAAAGCGTTGTCTTTCTCAAGGTTAGTTTATTTGGTTAATCAGTATGCTTTCTGAATCTGTGATTAAAACTCCAGTTGATGAATTGCCCTGGTTAATTGATTTCGCAGCTTCCAGCCCTAGTTAAAATCTTATCATAAGCCTAGATGTGTTAATTAAGCATTTATACACCTCCTGGGACCCCAGGAGTTGTGGATCCCATTTTCCCCTGCTCTCCTACTCCAAACCTAGGAGACTTTGGGACAGAAGGCACTTTGAACCTGCACATTTTGGGTCACCCCAGACATCTGTTTTATTCATGATAATTTGTGCACAGGATGCTATCAGGGAGGTCAGACGCAACCCTGCTTTCGATACAAAATGTGCATGTGCAAAAGGTTTAGAGGCAGTCCTACTGCTTTATTTCCAATCAGTGCATATCCTGTAACTTCTTGCTGAAATCCCATAACTTTTGATAACACAGATTTGTGGGGGGGGGGCAGGGCGGCATTGTCCTGCTTTTGTTATGCTATACCCGCTCCGGAGAGCAATAATGTGGCAGCACTGGGGAAGCATTGCAGAACGACCGATAAAGCAGAATAAATCCACCACGAATACACCATGTTGTGTCACAAACATGTTGCGGAATACACCCTCCAGTCTGGAGTGGGGGCCTTATTCTGTTCCACATATTCCAGGCAGGCCCTCACAAACAATGACTCTGATTAAGCCCCACTTTCCAAGAAATTCGGGATTTCTGGCCTGGCTCCCCCTGCCTATGGAAAACGCAGGTTTATCTATTTGACTAACACACTTAAAATGTCATTCAACAGCATATGCAGCATCACAAATATTTCCTGGTCTGGAGTAGGTCCAGGACAGGGTTGCCATAGTAACAGAGGGGAGGGGAGGGGGGAGAGCGAAAAAACTTCAGTCCTCCAAAACTCAAGGGACGCAATAATGCCACGCAGCTTCAGATATTTTAAAGGTCCTCTGGGCTGCATTTGCAACCTCACGACACAACCCACATAAAACGAAAACGGAGTGGCAAGCTGGGTAGAATTCACTGTCTTGGGAGGGGGGAGGCACTCCCACCACTGTGGGGTGGGCAAGAACTTGTGGTTTGAGGTGGCAGGACCATGGTCCAGGGCTGACTTCTTCGGAGAAACCCACAGAATTGCTGCCATAGACTTCCTGTCACTAGCGTGCCCATACGGCTCCTCTGCCTGCTTGCCTTTTGCCCAACTCTGGCACGATTCATGCCCAGGTTCAATACACACACACACACAACTTGTACAAACTGCCCCGCCATGGGGCACGCAACACCCCCTCCTTCCCCAGCCACCCTTGGAATTAAGCCAATGACTTTTCATCCTTTTACCCTGGCCCCAAACCTCTAGGGCCAGCTCCCCACTGAATCACCCACATCTACAAACACACCACTTTTTTCTTTACTTTTCCCTATACAGTGTCTCGCTGCAGGGTGGGCAGGGTGCTCCCCCCTTTCCATCCATTCTCCATACTTGCAAATACTCTTCTTTATCTTTTACACACACACACACACACACACACACACACACACACACACACAATTCCCATCCAGTCTGTCACATCAGACCCCTTCTCCTGCCTGTAGCCCATTCCTTCCCTTGACAATCCGTTGCATTGGTAGGTGTTTTAAACTGCATTTTCCATGTGGTTTTGCAAAGCTTGTTTTTTTAAAAAAAAACCAAAATCCCCACCTACCCTAAGACTAAAGCAAAATTCTTCAACCTGCTATCTTTCCTTCCCCCTATTCACTATGTACACACTTAGAAGGAGATTTAGGACACATATATTCTATCCAACTTTCTACTTAGATATTGCAGATCAGAAATGCTTGTATCACCCCTATTCCTATGTTATCAAGCCCCAATCTTTAGATCTGATTATCAGACGCCAGATCACTCTCTCTGGGTGTAAATACATGCACAGACTGTGCAGCCAGTTTTCTCTTGCTAGACACAGGCGTTCAGCCCAAACAGATAAAGTCCATCCTTCATCGTCTATCGGATCTAATCTATGTATTGCATATCAGATCTCTGCACCCTGCACCTCCCTTCCCCGGTTCTCCATTGTCTCCACCTCCCTGCCTGCAACCCCCCCTCTTCCCTTGCGCTCTCTCTCTCCTTCCCTCCCTCCCTCCCTCTCTCTCCCTCTCTCTCTAAGTCTGTGGGATCCCCCAATCGACCGCCTCTCATTCGCTGCGCTATCCCCCTCCCCACCGTTACCTGTTGACAGGAGCAGCACCCAGGTAGGATGGGGGCAGAGGGTGGGGGGGAGGTTGGGGTCCCGTGGGTGTGAGGATAAGGTGCAGGCACTACTTTGGGGGAAGGTGGGAAGACAGTTGTGGGGGGCAAGTTGGGGGAAAGGGGGTGGGATGTGGGGTTCCAGGTTCTGGCGGAGTTTCTGAAGAAGTGGGGGAGTTGGAAGAGTTGCTTGAGAGGTCTTTTTGTGCATTGGGGTGGGGGGGCTAGTGCAATTTGGGGGAGGTTGGTGGGGGGTAGAAAAGGCAGATCCTAGGGGCAGTTTTTCGGATGTGGGGCTGGTGCAAGATGGAATCACAGGGAAAGGGCAATTCAGGCATCTTTCTTGGAGTCCGGTGGGGAATTAAGGATGTATTTGGAAAGTATGGGGGAAGAAGTGAAGGGGTAAATTGCTTAGAAGTGGGGGGAGAGCAAGATGTTAGGTAATTACAGGTTATTTGCTTTTATTTACATATGTGTGGGGCAGATCCTGGGCAGGAAGATCAGAGGGCAATTCTGAGAGTAGGTGAAACTGATTGAGAATTGACGAGTGAAGAGAGAAAAAAATCCACACAGACATAAAAGAAATAATAATAAAAAGACAACTCAATTTAGCAAACTCATTCTATTAATATCGGTTAATAATCCAATACCAATTAATTAAAAATAACCCTCGCAGGAACGCCGGTCTCTAAAGAAACTGTCATATCAAAATGCCATTATGCTTCTGGCGATGCAATTTCCTTATTCAATTAGAATCGGCTCACTACCACACACACACACACACACACACACAAAAACCAGCACAGTAAATGAATTCTACAGCTTTTGCCTGCGTGTCTACGGAGTTGTAAATCTTGCTGCTTGGCCCATCAACATTCCATTACAACATGACATCGATTTGTGAATGCTTCATTTAATGTCACTTCTAACACACTGTGGGGTTTTATAAAAACAAACAAAAACAGAAGTCACTTGCCATGCGAGCCTATATTGCCTACTCAGGAGTAAGCCCCACTGAGTTTAGTGAGACTTACTCCCAGGTAAGTATGTGCAGGATTGCAGCCTCAGTGCATGGATGGACCTCTGAAGAGCTCAGTTCTGATGCTTCAGAGGGGGGGGAGAGCCACCAGTTTTGCCCATTGCTCCTCACTCTGTAACTTTTGACTTTCAATAAACGAACATAAAACTCATTTTTAAAAAGATGGACAGGAGAGAGCAGATTTCCTGCATAATGTGAACAGATGCAGCTGAAAGTTCTTCCTTGGTATTTTCCAGCAAAAGAGAGAGAAAAATCCACCATTAAGCCGAAACATTCCTTTCGGTTTTACTGGGAAAGTTTCCCTTCTTTAGAGAATGGGAAGCATATAGAAAATGGGCACCAGCACAGATCTTTGTGGTGCTCAGTTTACACCCATAGCGTGTGAAGGAAGGCGAAATGTGTGGCTCTCTAAAGAAACATTGGACTCGGGAACCAGCTGTAAGGAATCAGAAATCAGCCTGCCTGGTTAGAAAAGGCCAACACATTTAAGGGCTCTCTCTTAGGAAAACGATGACTGGGGAAGGGTCACAGTCAAGGAGCATAAATTTACACTTGGTGTGGACAGAGAAAAATTCTCTCTCCCTCATAACACGTGAATTTGGGATTATCCAGTAAAATTGATGTGGAAAAGATCAGGGCACAGGAAACATTTCTTAACACGATGTGTAATTGGTTTATGGCATTTGTTGTCACAGGATGTAGTGGTTGTGGTCTGGGGCTTAGACCGCTTTAAAGGGGGATGAGAAAATTTCATGGGGGGTGTCTATTGTTCCATCTAATAGTTAACTTGGGATTGGAGCCACTGAGGATAGAGGAGGGATTTTCACATGCTTGCAGAAGTACCCCCACAAAAAAACTTTTGTAAAAATAAATAAATCCCTAGAGGGAGGGTGGGGAGGGCTTAAAACAATCCATTAAGGGATGAGCCTGCTCAGTAACCATGGAATTGTTGCTGCTGGCATCCTTCTGTCTCGAGAGACAATGGAGTGTGCCTTCAAACCGTTGTGCTAGCAGCGCCGGAGTGACCTCCCAGGAAACAAGCCTGAGCAGGGCATATGGAGGTCCTGGGCTGCCCCAGATGGCAAGATCCTTCTTTTGGCCTCGCTGATGTGGTCCAAAGGAAAGCAGGGCAATAGGTTTGGCACCAGCTTGGCTGCAGGAGATGCCGGAAGGTGTACAAGGCACCACCCAAGCGTCTTAGGGATTCCTCTCTGGATTTGTGTAGGGTTTACTCCTAGCCTTTTCTTCTCCTGAAGACATCCTGCAAAGCAGCAGAGGTTTCGGATCGGAGCTTTTCTTCTTCTAGATGGGCTACCTTCCCAGGTTGAGAAACTCAGAGGGTGGAATGGAGTGCCCTGGTGGGAGGCATGGCTGGCTAGCACCCTAAGCAGGAGTACTCTTGCTAGGTGAAGATTCACTGGAACACTTTGCTGCATGTCCCACTCATTGATGGCTGTCAGTCGAGGTGGGCTGAAAAGGTAAAGGGACCATTAGGTCCAGTCGTGACCAACTCTGGGGTTGTGGCACTCATCTCGCTTTATTGGCTGAGGGAGCCAGTGTACAGCTTCTGGGTCATGTGGCCAGCATGACTAAGCTGCTTCTGGCAAACCAGAGCAGGGCACGGAAACGCCGTTTACCTTCCCGCTGGAGCGGTACCTATTTATCTACTTGCACTTTGACGTGCTAGGTTGGCAGGAGCAGGGACTGAGCAACCCGTTGCTCACCCCATCGCGGGGATTCGAACCGCTGACCTTCTGATTGGCAAGTCCTAGGCTCTGTGGTTTAACCCACAGCGCCACCCGCATCCCAAGGTGGGCCAAGTGGAACCACAATAGTCAGAGGAGGCACTATGCCCCTGACTACTACCTGCTAGGAGTTTGCTAAGGGTGCTGGGAATTGTAGCTCTGTGGTGGGTGAACCACAATTCCCAGGATTCTGTGGGGGAAGTGATGTGCTTTAAATACATGGTGTGGGCGCATCCTTCAACCGCTGCACACTTACCTGGGCACACTTACCTGAGAGCGACGGCCCCATGAAGACTTACTTCTGAGTAATTAGACATAGGGTTGTGTTCCACGTCAGCCTACACCTGGTGCTCACGATGGAATAATGAATCAAAATAAACACCTCTTTCCATCCTCCACAGCTGACTGCACCTCCAATGACCGTCCGACGCGGAGAACGTGCTCCAGTCCCTATCCGGGAACATATGGCCATTGATGTGTCCCCAGGGCCAATCCGGCCCATTGCCCAAATCTCTGCCTATTTCCCACATCCTGGGCTGGAGGGAGTGTTGGCGACACGAGACAGAATGAGGGGTCAAGGGGCTGCAGCCATTCCCCCTGGAACCGGGGAAGGAGAATCGGCGGACGGAGACGATTCTGATGACAGCAGTGAGTATGAACCCTCTCTTCCATGCCTTTGAAGGGGAGAGGACCCAGGTGTTCTGGATCAAACCATCTATTCATTCCATGGGGGGTGGAGAGGGGTGTAGGCGGCCTGAACCACATACCTGATGCATGCATGTTCACACTATCTCACACACACACTGGCTGTCATCTTACGCACCAGCTCTCTTGCCTTTGCACATTTTTACAGCCAGGTGCACAAGAGAGAGTGGCTGCATACACACCACCTGCTGAATTACACTGAAAGCGCATTTACCCTCCAAAGAATCCTGGGATCTGTAGTTTGTTAAGGGTGCTGGGAACTGTAGCTCTGTGGGGTGAACCACAGTTTCCAGGATTCTTTGGGGGGAAAGCCATGTGCTTTAAATGTTGAGTGAATGTGCAGCTAGTAGCTCTGTCTTATGTGCATACGTACTAAAGAGTCTCAAACCAAAACAGGCACAAATTCAAGAGACATTTTCACACATATAAATGTCCATAATTTTTTCACATACTGTCACCCAGGGCTTCACTACAAGAGTCCTGCCAGCCACTTTTTTATACCTATATTTTCTCTCTCACACTCTCCCCTTCTTACACACTTACTTCCTTAGACACCCTCTCTCACCTGCATCTGAGAACGTAAGTCTTGCATTTTGTCACAATGGATTTCATGCAGTGGTTCTCAGAAACACCAAGCCTTTCAGATATCTATACTACCCAGCCCTCCCATATCACAAACACATGCTTGCCTAAATTTTACACAAGAATTCCCACTCAGAAGGGGTGCCCCCTAGAACCTCCTTTACATGTCAATACATTGAAAGGGCTCTTGTGGCCAGCCCTGTTTTCACCACAGAATGACTCAGCAATCACATCACCTGGTGGGAAAGTTCTCCCTTGCACTCTCACTCACAGCCTTGCATGCAGACCCTCATTCTTCCTCCCTGCCTCCTTGTATACACACAAGGCATTCCTGAGACACACGCTGACCTGCGAGAGGAAGCCCCCCTGACCTTACTTCTGGACTTACCTCTGAAGATAGGGATGCAGGTGGTGCTGTGGTCTAAACCACTGAGCCTCTTGGGCTTGCTGATCAGAAGGTTGGCAGTTCGAATCCCTGCAACGGAGTAAGCTCCCATTGCTGCGTCCCTGTTCCTGCCAACCTAGCAGTTTGAAAGCATGCCAGTGCAAGTAGATCAATAGGTACCTCTGCAGCGGGAAGGTAAACAGTGTTTCCATGCGCTCTGGCTTCTGTCACAGTGTCCTGTTGCACCAGAAATGGTTTAGTCATGCTGGCCACATGACCCGGAAAGCTGTCTGTGGACAAACGCTAGCTCCCTTGGCCTGAAAGCGAGATGAGCGCCGCACTCCATAGTCGCCTTTGACTGTCCCCAGAGGTCATTTACCTTTACTTTTTACCTCTGAAGAAGCATGGATAGGATTGTGCTGCATATCTCCTGTCTTAATAATACAAGTTGTGCACCAAGGCTGCCAACTTAAGAAGACTCCTTTGGAAGTCGGAAAAATGACCGAGGCCAACATGACTTACTTCAGTCAATGTGCTGAGATTCAGGCCAGGGTTTGCTATACTTCAGTGCTCACATAGGTACATTCTTGGTACACTCACATAGGTACACACTTGTGCTCTTCTTCACACACAGGTTTGTGTTCACTCACTCACTCACTCACTCATACACCTCCCCACAACTATTGATCACAAACAACTTTTCTCAGTTCACACACAGGCAAAACTTCCAAATATTTGCCTTCATATCATTATAGGACTAGGAGTCCCCATCCATCGCAAAGATCCTATGGCAGTAAGGGTGGGGTCTGGACAACAGAAGTAATGCTCAAGTCAAGGCTGGCAATCTTTCTTCAGCCTGAGGGCCCCATTTGCCTGTAAGCAACCTTCCAGGGGCTGTGCGTCAATGGCTACATGGGGCAACAGTTCAGCTGTTCCAGCCACTTCACACAAAACACATACAGTGGTGCCCCGCAAGACGAATGCCTCGCAAGACTAAAAACCCGCAAGACGAAAGGGTTTTCCGTCGCGGAGGCACTTCGCAAGACGAAGTTCCCTATGGGCTTGCTTCGCAAGACGAAAACGTCTTGCAAGTCTCGCCATTTTTATTTTTTTTGCTTCCCCCCCCCTTTTTCAAAGCCGCTAAGCCGTTAATAGGCTTTTAACAGCTTAGCCGCTAAGCCGCTAAGCCGCTAATAGCGCTAAATCGCTAATAGCGCTGATCCGCTTAGCCGCCAATGGGGTTGCTTCGCAAGACGAAAAAAACGCTAGACGAAAAGAATCGCGGAACGGATTCTTTTCGTCTTGCGAGGCACCACTGTATATCTTTCCATCCTGGCCCCTGAGTTGCTATCTCAGTTCAAGGATACATTCCAGCCAGGCAAAAGCAGGATGGACTGGGGAAGGTGTGGTCTGGGGAGACAGGGCTTAGCCTGAGGGCCAGACAGTGCAGCCGGGAGGGCCCCCATTTGTTTATTTATTGAATTTGTATGCCATCCTTCATCCGTAGATTTCAGGGAGGTTCACAACATAAAAAAGTAAAAACACAATACATAATAAAAACAAGAACAAACAACAACACAAATCCATAACACACACCTCCATGCACCTACACCTGAGATTCCCCAGCCCCTGACTTAGTGGTTAAACCTGCCAGACAGATTTGGCTTTGTTTAAGTAACTGGCACAGGTGATGTGTTGCCATAGGAATTAACGGTTGGAGAGCCTTCCGAGTCTCTGTAAGAACATTTTGTGTGCATCCCTGCCCCCCCCCCAATCGGTCCCTAGAAGTCTTGATGGGGAGCAAGATCCATTGTAGTGTTAAAGCTGTGAATCGTGTAGGCCATAAACCATGGGGCAAACCTTGGTTCCAACTGCTGAGTCAGAAGAGATCTACAAGCCCAGGTTGGGACGACATCTGAGCGAAACCAAAGCTTAGCTTGGTGCAGCAGCATAGCAGAAAGAGCTGGGCGGAGCCAAGAAGCTGCAATCTCCTCTCTCAGCACAGTTGTCCCTTTGCACTATGCTGTGACTTGGCTTAGCATGACAGGCAAACCAGGCCACCACGTTGTACACACCCCAGCCCCAGCAGTCATCGAGAAGCACTCTGGTGCAGAGAGCAGAAGCTTTTTGCTCCCATATGGTGCCGATTCACAAGCGACGCACACAGAGATGCATGAAGGAACACAGTCACACACTTCTGGGGACAAGCTCGCACATAACAAATGGCTCGCTCAGCCACCTTCCCTAACCGAAAACAAACCCACACAAACTGACACCCTCACTGACACAACAGCCTGCCTTTAAGAGAGAGACGGTTTCGTATTCTCGTCTACGCATGTGCACACAACACACTTGCACGCAAGCAAGCTAGTAGAGTTGCATGTGTAGTTATACACACCAGAAAGGAGGGAGGGAAGGAAAGGCGGAAGGGTGGAAGGATGAATGGAATGGGGTGGTGGTGGTAAGGGAGAGCCAGAGTGGAGGAAGACAGAAAGGAAGATGAATAGATCAAGACAGAGGGAGGGAGGGAGGGAGGGAGGGAGGGATGGGAAGAGACAGAAGGGCAGAAAGGTAAAATGTCCACGCCAGAGGATGGATGGATTTGGATGGACAGAAAGCAATTTATGAACCAGTGCATGTAAAGATGCGCCCAGATGGAAAGAAGCAGGGACAAATCTGTAGGTGGACTGACACATAAGCTCATTTCACACAGTCTTCCAACCATGCAGCCTGGCTGTGTTAAGTGGGGGAGCAGCAGGATTGCACCGCTCTCCCTGTTCCCCAGTTCCATGTGTTCCCCACCTCTGTGTGCACAGAGCTACAAGTGTACCACTTGCGCACCACAGGCTCTCTGCCCATGCAGCCTACTTCTCTCTGACTGTGCGGGGAACACCTGTGCATGTATGACTTGCACGCGTGTAGGCTGTTCTGTGTACCCAGAACTGAGGTATACAGCGGCTGGAGATGCAGACAAAAGCATGGTCCTCTTCTGCCTCCACGCATTTCGACTTTGTGGGTGGAAAACTGTGTGCGAAAGGGATCTGCAGCTAAAGACCAATAATGTAAGTGAGATGCATGGAGTAGGTAGAAGGCTACTTTTTTGTCACACCAGGTTTCTACCCTAGAATATATGGAGTGGTAACAATGCCTTTGAGCATGTGCAGAGCACAGAACCTTGAGTACTACAGCTGCTCCCTATTCACCTGAGATCAGAAGGTAGGCCATGCAGGTTCAAAGGGTGTGATTACGCAACTCCCAGGCAAGGTCCAATTCTGTGCTCAGAGAGCTGCCCTGGTTGCTGATTTGATACCAGGCCAGGTTCAAGGTGTTATTATTAGAATAAAGGTAAAGGTACCCCTGCCCGTAAGGGCCAGTCTTGCCAGACTCTGGGGTTGTGCGCCCATCTCACTCAAGAGGCTGGGGGCCAGCGCTGTCCGCAGACACTTTCCGGGTCACGTGGCCAGCGTGACAAAGCTGCATCTGGCGAGCCAGCACAGCACACGGAAACGCCGTTTACCTTCCCGCTAGTAAGCGGTCCCTATTTATCTACTTGCACCCGGGGGTGCTTTCGAACTGCTAGGTTGGCAGGCGCTGGGACCGAGCAGCGGGAGTGCACCCCACCGCGGGGATTCGAACCGCCGACCTTTCGATCGGCAAGCCCTAGGCGCTGAGGCTTTTACCCACAGCGCCACCCGTGTCCCCTATTATTAGAATACAAAGCCCTTAACAACTTGATTTACCTATGAGATCCCCTTACCCCACATAATTCCCACTCAGCCACTTCAGTTGGTGGAATTGGCACAGCTACAGGTGCCACAGAATACCCATTCAGCAGGGGTAAGAAATTTGATTGTTTAATGCACTTTGGAACTCCCTGTCTATTGAGATCAAGCAGGTGCCTTCGCTGTACACTTTCGGCACCTGCTAAAAACATTTTTGCTTAGACGAGCCTACCCAGAAAGCTGAGGTAATTTTAATCTGTTTCAGTGTTTTAACTTTTGTATGTTTTAAAGCAGGGCTGTGAATTTTTCTGCATTTTATTGTTTTATCTTTTTGTAGACTGCTTTGAGGGTTGTTGTTGTTGTTGTTACATACAAGTACTGTATAAATTTTATTAAATAAATACATAAATGCTAAGAACCTTCCATTGCTGTAAAAAAAAAGAACATGCATGCACACGCACGCACACACTTTTCCTAGACCTGATGGCTGTAAAGACGGAATCAGAACTATATGGGTTATGTCTGATAAAGTATACCAATGGGAAGGGAGTTCAGCAGGGTTTACTGTACTCAGGATATAGGGCCCTGATGCAGCGCTCAGCCCCTTTGATTCTCCCCTCCCCTGAGCAGAAGCAAAATAAATTATGCATACTTAGGTAAATTGGCCTAACTGGCATGATTTATGCAGGTCGCAGCAGAACATCCCAGTTTTATTAGTGCCTGGGTTATCTGGGAGAGGTAGGGTTTTGATTATTATTTTTTCGATCTCAGAGAAAATAGCTGCATCTATATGCCAGCTGGCTGACAGATGACTTCTACACAAACCTATAGTGGTGAGCAGTGCAGAAAGGTAGACAGGTAATATAGGCAGATGGAGGGAGCTCAATATGCAGGCAGATTGTATGATTGCAAGGAAGAGAGAGGAAAAAGAAAATTCAGATGCGACAGACTGATTCTTTTTCTTCATTCTGTTTGGCACCCGATTCCTTTCCTAGCATCGCTTGGGACTCTTGAATTTGACATCCTCTATGATCCCGAAAACTGCACCCTTGACTGCACCATCCTACGGGCCAAGGTAATGATGGCAATCTGGCAAAGTGCCCCAAAAACAACTGCTCTCCTGCAAATGGATGATGCTTTTTGATTCCGACCCGCAGGCTTTCTGCATTCTGTGTCTCGTTTTCACAACAGAGGGACATGATTTAATAAGAGAGGCCACACAAGGAGGGGAAATCTCATTATGGAGCCAGCGCTGCTCATTTTCAGTCTGTTTCCTTTCTCTCGCCTGCATCTCAACCCGTTCCTTCTCCTCCAAGCCTCTGGAAAGCAGAGAGGTTCACTCAAAGGCCCACCTCTCTCACACAAACCCCCGCGGACTTCAGCCGGCTCTGTTTGCACAACCCCTACCCTCACATACATGCCAACAAACACAAGCCCCCTCTCCCCTGCCAGCTGGTGGGCTTGCAGCATCTTCAAGCACCTCGGCGACGCACCAGGCAACTGGGTATCCGCAGGCATCTGGGGTTGCCGTGGCAACAGAGAAGGGATGGGGAAAGCAAGGGAAACAATGCGGCAGTTCAGAACCACAGCAAAAGTAACGCTTGCCCTCCATCATCATTACCCAGAGCCCCACCACCACACCTCAGGCTCCCATTCCCCCCACGACTGATGACCATTCATCCACATACCATTCTCTTCTCTCTTTGCTCCCCCACGTTGCAGGGGCTTCCTCCCAAACTATTCTGGGTGTGTTAACATGATGTGTTTTTTGTTTTTCCTGCCTTCTATATAACTGGAAGTGCCATTTTCCCTGTGGCAATCCTTCAACGAAACCAATTTAGCTTGATGCTTTAGCAGCGGCTCTGAACAGTGTTTAAGAAATCACAGCACGAAGCATTCCAAGACTCAGAATAATTTATTTTAGCCACGAGTGGCGTTGAGTCTGTGTTCCCTTCAACAAAGGCAAGCCGACACTTTTATGAGGATTATTCAAGAAGGCCTCTCTGCCCGAACACTTGTCTCGTTCCACAGATTCTGCAAAGCTCACTGAGGCTCTCCCCAGAGTTCTCCTGTGTTTCTTATGCCCCATAAACAACCTCACTCTAATTCTGGCTTCATACATAGAATAACTACTACACAGGGCTGCTTTTGAAGAGTGTCTAAAAACTTCCATTGGCTCAGAAGGCAGCAACTAGCTTATTATCTAGGGCAGGCATAGGCAAATTCAGCCCTCCAGATGTTTTGGGACTACAACTCCCATCATCCCTAGATAACAGGACCAGTGGTCAGGGATGATGAGAGTTGTAGTCCCAAAACAACTGTATTTGGGTTTGCCTATGCCTGATCTAGGTTGAGGTGCCCAGAGCATAATATTATACCAGTGCTATATCCGTATTACTGGCTCCCTATTCATTTGCAGGCCTGATTCAGAGTGCAAGTCTTAACCTTTAAGTTCCTAAATCAGGGGTGGGGAAACAGTGGCCTACCAGATGTTGTTGGGCTTCAGCTCCCATCACACCCAGCCAACATGGCTAGTCCAGGGATGATGGGAGTTGTAGTCCTTCAGCATTGGGGTGAGGGCACAGATACCCCCTTCTCTGCTGTACCTGCAGTTGGGACTCCCTCCTCCCCTCCTGCTTGGACATGTGGCTCAGCAGCTGAAACCCTGATCTCTGTCCCTTATCCTGGCATCTGAAATACAGTGGAAGAGAAGGAATACCAGGCAAAGCTAAGTTTTGGGCGGCCCATAAGACCACCTCATTGCTTGCTTTTAGTCAAGCAGCAGAGACCTGCCTTCTTAAGCATTTGTATGGAAGGGGATAATCCTTTGCATTACTGATTTTGCTTCGGCTTGAGCTATCAGCTGTATTTTTTAAAACTCTATCTATCTGCTGGTTTCTATTGCTGTTGCTTGTGCTTTGGTTGTTTCTGTTTCTTCGTTAACGACCTGAGAGGTCTGTCCATGGAAAAGTGGGATGTTAGCCATGGCATTCAAAACATTTATACTGTAAGTCAAGATATGCAGTAGAAACACTGTGCATAAGGTCAAGACTACTGTCACACTTCTTGCTGCTTCTGTGTAGGAATGTGGTCATGTGTGCAACAGTCGAAGGACTGCGTGTCTGAGAAAAAAACATGAAGCATTCTCTTGAGATGTTAATGAAATGTATAAGGACAATATTTTGTTTAAAGGGGAGCTGATCACTGTCTTCTTATTCTCAGGGTCTGAAACCGATGGATTTCAATGGGCTGGCTGACCCCTATGTCAAACTGCACCTTCTGCCCGGAGCCTGCAAGGTAAACATGGCTTCAGGTTCGCCTCCACTTTCACTGTCTCACAGTTCCTGAGCCTAGCACTATCCAATATACACATGCACAGCTACCACCACCATGCAGAGAAAAGATAAGGTGCGTAACCAAGCTGGAGATATTGTGTCCCTACAGAACAGGAGGAAGGCAGTGTTTCTCAGGCCCCATCAGTGCCAAACATTTAAAGCAGTATCATACCATTTTATTCCCCCAAAGAATCCTGAGAACTGTAGTTAAGGGTACTGAGCATTGTTAGGCGACCCCCCCCCCCCGTTCCCCTCACAGAGCTACAATTCCCAGAGTTCACTTAACTCATCCATCTATACCTCTGGTAGGTTCTGCTCCCAGGTCAACACTGAGCAGCAACAAATAGGTTGAAGGACAGTTCCTCCATTTCTTTGTAGCTAAGCAGAATAGCTCATGCAACTGGCTACTCACTCCAACATCCAGGGAGAAAGAGAAGGAGCAAGCCAGAGCCATGCACCTCATCAGACTAAGCCACGTCAGGCAAATATGGGAAACCAGGCTATTCTATTGCAGGCTCTTTAAAACACATCCAATAAAGCACAGTTTGGAAAAGGGGCTATCAGTAATTATCAGGAGAGAATAAATAGAAAGACATTGATAATTCCATGCCACCATTCTCCTGCTTCCAGCCTAGGAAACAGGTACGCCTCTGGTCTTACTAGAATATTCTGCTCTTCCATTCCAATGCCTCCCCGCCCCCCAAAAAACCTTCTCCTCTCCAGGCGAACAAACTGAAAACACGAACCCAGCACAACACTCTCAACCCTGTGTGGAATGAGGCTCTGACTTACATTGGAATAACAGCTGAGGATATGGCCCGGAAAACTCTGCGGTAAGACCCCCCCACCCTGCCCCGCTGACTTAAAATCCCAATCTACAGGGTCCTCTTTCATTCCCATGCTCCCTTTGGCATTCACACCCTTCGGTCCTTTTTCTCTCTTTCTGCTTCCCAGAATCTCCGTCTGCGATGAGGACAAACTGACCCACAACGAGTTCATTGGCGAGACCCGGGTGCCCCTGAGGCGCCTCCAGCCTCGCCAGAAGAGACACTTCAATCTGTGCTTGGAAAGACAACAACCAGTGAGTCGGGCATAAGCGGGTTGCATATCTCAAGATGAGTCAGGAATCAGGATCTATTGGTTTATTTTATGAATTGATAAGGATCCTCAAGCACATCCTCTAGCTGCTTGGCTGCCCAGTCCCTTGTCCCCCTGTCCCAATCCCCACTAGCAGCTCGCAGGCCCTCTTCTCCCTGGGACCTGCCTGAGTTTCTCCCCTGCTCTGCCAAACTCAGTGCTTTCTGCCAATCACCAGCATCTCACAACTGATTCTTCTTCGCCAGCAGTTGGCATAGTTGTGAACACTTCATGGTGTAAAAAGCCCAGCTAACTCACGAGTGGAGGTGAAAAGACTTGCAGGCAGCAACCTGCCTGTAGCATATTTTATGCACGTGATTTTTGTGATCCTTCAGTGGGCTAGAAGGTGTCTCAGGAGGGGCAAGGAGGGGAGATAACTCGGGATTTTTAGTGGTGAGGGTGGGTCTCCTTTAGCTCTCCATTGACCAACAAAAGCAAAATACGTCACCTTACCAGCAAGTGTGCAGTTCCATTCTACAATTTAATACTGTTCACAGAATTCAGATTTTATGGGTGTAGTAGATTAACACATCTCTGTCTTGTCACTGATTCCACCCACCCACCCCCATGCACAGGATATATTGCATTTTGATTCTGTTGGGTTAATCCCTTATGCCTACAAGTCATCATACTTGTGTACCAGTCTGTACTTCCAAATGTCAAGGGAGTTTTTCCTCTCCCTCCTCTGTGCACTTGCTCACTCACTCTGTCCCTTGACTCCTCCAACTTTGCTCATGTTTCTGTTTGGAAGAGCAGGGAAAACAGATTTTTTCTCTCAATCCTCACTTCCCTCAACAGCTGGCATCCCCTTCTTCCATGACAGCAGCTCTGCGTGGCATCTCCTGTTACCTGAGAGAGGTGAGAGCGTATTCCCGCCCCCTTCCTATTCCTCGCATTATAAAACCTGTAGCTTAAGAGTGAGGAACATGAGGGCCACATTTTTTTCAGCCTGAGGGCCACATTCTCTTCTAGACAAGCTTTGAGGGGGTTACATGCCAATGGTGGGTGGGACCAGAGCTAAAAGTGGACAGAGCAATAAATGTGAATTTTACCTCTGTACAGTTTTAACACACACACTTTACACGCCCTTTTTACCCTCAATCCGAGCAAGCAGGAACCATTATCCGAGTTCAAGGACTTATTCCAGCCAGGCAAAAACTCCCAAGGAAGATGCAAATCAGGGGTGGTTTTTGACCCTGGATAAGGGTCCCAAAGACCAAATACAGAAGCTTGGAGACCCACATTTGGTCCCCGCCACCTCAGGCTTCCCATCTCTGCTATTGGTCCTCTCATTTCTCAAGGAAAGGACTTGCCCTTAAATAGCCAAAGAAAAAAAACAGAAACAATTATATCAAGTTAAAGGAGTATGAGGCAACAAGCATTAGTGCATATCAGCTGGAAGCAGAGCAGCCCAAGCAATAGTAGGAATACTGCCGCCACCACAAGTACAGTACCGGCCAAATCCCAGCTAGACCAATGTGAAGTAGCTCCTGATACAATTTATTTATATAATTAGGGCCCAGAACTTAAGCCTGCCAAGAAGGCTCTTTCCCCCAAATATTGTGAAGAAAAGCTGTATGGTCCACTGCAGCAAAGTGATTACAATGTTGGGCTAGGAATGGAGGGCCCCAGTTTTTTAATTCCAATTTCAACCATTAAAAAAAAATTATCATGGAGACTTCCAGTCAACACCTCTCAACCTAAGCTACCTCACAGGGTTGTTGTGAGGAGAAAAAGCAGGGTGGTGTGAAGAGGGTAAGCATGTACTTTGGTTATCTTTAGTATTTTACCTTGCTATCCTGCTCACCCTCAGACACATCTTTCTTCTAAACCACTTCAGAGGTTTATTAATTACTACTACTACTACTACTACTACTACTACAGTCAAGTGGTATATTCATTTTGTGACATAAATAGGGTTGAGTCAGAAATAAGTTGCCAGGCTGAAATTTCGGGCAAGCGAAGTGGCTAGCGGGCCTGACAGGATAGAGGATCGAGTCAATGTTAGCAGGCAATGTGCCAGGGAAATGCCAGGGAGAGCTGCCTGCCAAGGATGGGTGAAGGAGGCCCAAGAGGCCTTCTGAAGCCTTAACCAAGGGTGTCAAAATGCCCAGGGCCAGCCCTGACAGGCTGCAAAGGTTTGTTTTTGGGAGGCTGCTGGGTGGATATTTTGCACAAAAGCGCTCCATGCTCTTTCCTTTTCCTTGCTCCATAGCTAGAACCCCCAGCCGGCTGGGCCCTGGAAGAAAGGGGTCGTATCCTGCTCGCCCTCACGTACCTCTCCGAGCACCGTGGATTGCTGGTGTCTATTCTTCGCTGTGCCCACTTAGCTGCCATGGATGTGTGTGGATACTCAGACCCTTATGTAAAAACGTGAGGAATTGTGCTTATACTTGGCCCTAAGAGAAAGGCCTGCCCTTTCCTTAGCCTGCAGGCATATTCAGAAGACTAAAAGAAAAAAGAAATCCCATTTTAAGGAAAGCTTTCAGGGATTGTTTTTAATGACCCTGGAATTAACTTCGTTACAATGCTGTGTCTGTGTAGTCATTTTGCATTTTCTTCTATATTTCTGGCATTTTGAGTGTACAGTATAATGTTCTGCAGCTGTACGGTGGTGGTTTTTAGCGCTTGCATGCAGAATTTTAAGGGTGGCTCGCAGCCTTTTGGGGGAAGGAGACAGAAAGGAAGATGACAAATAGTCTAGACAAACAGGCTCAGTCCCCGTTGCTGTTTTGGCAGGTACCTGAGGCCAGACGTAGAGAAGAAGTCAAAGCATAAAACAACCGTGAAGAAGAAGACGCTGAACCCAGAATATAATGAGGTGATGAAAGAAGGACGAGTGAAGTAACTGCATGTTCTGGGACTTGGGAGGCAGTCAGAGCGAGGGGAGGTTGAAGAGCCAACATGCTTCAATAATTCTAATTCTGTCTCTTTTCTGTGAACCAACAGGACTTTTTCTACGAGATCGAACAGTCAGAGCTTGGTCAGAAATCCCTGGAGATAACAGTTTGGGATTACGACATTGGGAAATCTAACGACTTTATTGGTGAGAAGAGCAAGAGGAGGTGGTGGCCGGGTTACAAAATGTGGATATGCCTTCTGGGACCCTCAACCAACGTCATAGATTTATAAAGTGGCTCTCTCACGGGACCGTGGGAACTGCCAATTCTTGTGGGTGGCTGTCTCTGTGATAAGATTTGCAGATGCCTCGCCAAATTAAAGCTCCCAAAATTCTTTGCTAGAGAAGTCACAACACCAAAACTGGTATAAAAAAAAGGGGGCATGCCCACTATTTCACAGGATGTCCCACGAGGGGGATCCCTGTGCTTCAGGATAGAAGGCGCTATTTACAAACATCAAGAACCAATTTATCTTTCTTTTACAGGTGGGGTGACCCTCGGTCTAGGGGCCCCTGGAGAATGCCGACAGCACTGGCTCTCATGCCTTCAGACCCCCGACTGCCGCCTTGAGCACTGGCACACGCTCACCAACGAGCTCCCAGAATCCTCCACTTTCGGCCCCTGAGAAGCCACCTCGATTGCCTATATAGAGTTGCATCCTCCCGCCCTGCCTGCCTGCCAAAAAAAAGGGAGGGGCACAGCACCAGGGGCCCCTCCTTTGCACGAGGATGTTTGCACGTTTTGAAAATTACTTGTCGTTGGTGTCCATTTATATTACGCTCTAGGGAAGGGCTTAAATGGAATGAATCGCCTCTTCTGTTTCCGTGTGTTTTAAGGCATTGGGAAGTGGGAGGTGGTCATAGCCGAGTGGAGGAGCCCAGGAAGAACAGGAGAGCCCAGGAAGCCACTTGTAGAAAAAGAATTTAAATCAATGAAAAGTCACAGAAATAATTATCCGTCCTCTTCCTCTCTTAGCACCTGTCTTTCCAAGCTGTCCATCGCTCTGAAATCCCACTACTTTCAAACCAAGGCTTAGCTTGGATTTTAAAGGACAAGATATTTGCTGGCACACAAAATTTGAAGCATCGGTTCTGATTTCTTTTTCTTTTTTAAAGCATATTAAAAACCCACTTCCCCATATGGAATTTCTTTCAGCGGTCCAAAATATATTTCCCTCTTCTTTCCACACCAGCTCCTTTCCCTACTCAACTTAACCTCAGAGTGCCAAATACAATTTATACTCCTGAACTGCTGGGGAAATAAACTATTGTTTATTGTCTCTGGAACTTCCTGCATGGATTATAGGGGCATTCATATGGCACGCTTCTTCCTGCTAACTCATTGTTAGAGGCCTGCCGACATAACTGTTTATCTGCAGTCTCTCTTGTTACAAACGAGGTTGACCCCACCACTACCCACGCAGTTTTAAAAACAAGGTTGCAGGAAATTATTGTGCTGTTAATTCTTGCTTCCATTTCTGTCAGAAAGCTCAAATCACTGGAGGCGATCCAGGGAGAGAGCAATCTTAACAGCGGGCTGCCCAGCCTCTTCTTAAAAGACTTCCAGGAAGGGAGAGCACCTCATCTCTGGGCAACTGGGTCCCCATTGTGGAACTGCTATTTCTATGAAAAAGTTTCTCCTAATCTTCAGCCAGCACCTGCTCTTCCTGTAACTTAAGCCCATTACATCCAGTGACAGTCCTGCACTCTGGTGCAGCACAGCAAGTCTTCTATGTAAGACCCCTTTAGGTATTTGAAAGGTGCTTTCTTCTCCAGGCTAAACATACCCAGTTCCTTCAACCTTTCCTCACAGGGATTGTTTTCCATACCTTTAACCATCTTCACTGCCCTTCTCTGAACCCATTCCAGCTTGTCTATATCCTTCTTAAAGTGTAGCATCCACAAATGGACAAAGTACTCCGGATGAAGTCCAACTAGCACAGAATAAAGCGGAACTATTACTTCTCATGTCTTGGAAACGACGGCTGTATTAATGCCGCCTAAAATTGTATGAGTCTTACAAAGTACGACTGGCTTATGTTCAGCTCAAGATCAACTTGTCCTGGGATCCTCTTCATTTTTACTGCTGCTTCCACCCTATACCTGTGCACTTGATTACGGCCATGATTATTTTGCCTAAATGCAAAACTCTGCATTTGTTTCTGTTGAATCTCATTTTGCTTCCGTCCAGTTTCCCATGCTATCTTTTCCTAGTTCATAGCATTTAATCAGCTTGCAAATCACATTATCATGGGGGACACTATTAGGTGTTTTGCTGAAACCAAGATCATTGCATTCACAGTCGTTCTTCAATCCACTAAACTAGTAACTTGATTTTATATTTCTTTCTCCCTCCCTCCCTCACACTCACACACAGTATATATAGACACACATTTATTCTTTGTAATCCGTGCAGGCTTCTGCTAACCATTGCATTGCTATCAAGGTGCTTGCAAACTGACTCCCTTGAAATCTATTCTAGTTATCCTCCGTAGCACTGAAGTCAGATAGACTCATTTCACAGATCCTAGTTTTCAAGATCTGGAACAATTGCCTTCAGCCCTGTGGCACTTCACCTGTTCTCCGGGATCTCCCAAAAATGATTAAGACAGAAGTTATGAGAGTTCACCAGTGAGTTCCTTTTAGTACCCTCTAGGATGCAATTCATCTGGTCCTTGAGACGAAGCAATTTCAGGTAGTGAGGCATTTCCTGATGAAATTTCTTACCAATCTCAAACAGAAGCTCTGGCCACACTACTCATGTGCTGACTATGCTACTTATGGAAGATGGAACACAATTCCCCTTTGTGGGGGGAAGACAAGAGGCAAAATAGCAACTGAGCAATCCAGCCTTCTGTGCCACCTGTTAATATTTCACCATCCTTACTGAGAAACAGGCCTAGTGCCCTTCCTCTTCCTCCAAACACACCTTTTTATTGTTCTTGGTAGCATTCTCCAGCCCCAGCTTATTCTGATCTTCTGCTTTCCCATCAAGTCTGGACTACACAATCCTAGTGGCCTGCCCTTTCTTATACAATACATGTCTTTTTAAAATCTTCAGCTCATTAGGCTTTTCTACAGCTGCTCTGGCTTTAAGGGGGAAAAGGTCCCATTTTCCTCTCTCGCTGGCTTGTTTGAGATGGCTCCCGTTTTCTTCTCTCATTGGAATAGTGCCTTTAGTAACTCCTCCTTTCGGGATTTATCCTGGTCAATGCTGCAAATTCTGATGGAGAGTCATGGGAACAGGCAGTGGGCATAAGCCAGGGAGACTTATGTGTCCATCACACACTTCCAGGCCTGGCCTGGCCATACTTTTAGACAGGATAGGGAGGCCTGCCAAAAGCAACTGCGCTTGTGGTGCCATTAAGGGCAGCACATTGTCATGTATTTAACTTAATGTTCTTTTAGTAATGTATTTGGGGGGCCCATTTGACCTTTCCACACCAGGCACAAAACCATCTGTATCCATCTCAGCTAGACACACTTGTTTCCCCATCAAACATTTCAGTTGTTCATCAGAAGACATTCAGTACCCAAGTGACACACCCATTTGCTGGGTAAAATGTGAATCGGCTCTTAGAAAGGCAGTGTCTTCCATCTATCCTTTTGAGCAAATGTTTGCAGCTAGGCAAAAATTTGGCATTTGCCCTTACCTTAAAACTCCTGTCACCCAGGCATGAATCACGACATTTTTTTGTCCAGTTTCTAAAGATTACTGTGTGTGCGCGCACTTATATTTGTAACAACAGGGTGGTTTCTTGTATACATCCTACTACCACTTTAAAATATCTGTAGCAAAAATAATAATAAAAACATCGCAACAAGTAGCAAAATTTGGGTGCTTACTAGAAACCATCTAGTAAAATATATATATTTTAAAACACTGGTGATCTTTCTATTTTATGTAAAACAATCCCCAAGTGGGTTTTTGAAGGATAAACTTCTCCACAAAAAAAATTCATAAGCAGATTGACTTCAAATGTTTACATGTGCAGCGAAAACCTCTCCTAGTCCTTAAAAATGTTCACTTTTTTCTCCCCTCAGGAGATTTCCAGCACTTTTTCAGAGTTCCCTGCCTTTAAAGGGATTTTTTCTTTTGTAGCTTAAAAAAAAAGAAAAGAAGATTCTTCCCACCTCGTAAAGGGATGCACTTTTTCACAAAGATTTTTCTTAATCAATAAAGTTTGTAGATGAAGGTACATGACTGAAGAGAATCAAGAAACCTCTGGCCTCAGCAGGAGGCAACTTCTTCTAAGGGCTCGTGGGGTTTAGGAGAAGAGGGAAGTTTGGGGTGGGGGTTTGGGGGAGGGTATGTGTAGAAACTGCAACTGGAATTTTTTATATATATAAAAAATCCCATTTATTGACTGGTTTGCATGTTTTTTGGAGTCTGTAAACAAACAAAAAATAAAAATTGTGGGGCGCAATCCCCACACACACCACTGCGAGGCCTGTGTCCTTTGAGCAGAGAGCCGCTTGCCACTGTCACTCGGGAATGTCGATTACCAATTCATCGTCACCATCCAGAGGGTCTTCGCCACTTCCCTCCCCTGTGTCACTGAACATCTGGTGGGGCACCGTGCTGAGGATGGTGGGCGGCGGCAGCTTGGGGGTCCCGCGGGGCGAAGGGAAGGGCAACCCCACCACCACAGATGAACAGTCAGAGTGGGAGGTGGGGGGCAGCGGGAGCTGCAGTGGGGAAAAGAACAAGAAATTGTGGGTGGGAGAGTGAGCCAGGCAGCGCCAAACCTCCTCCTGCTGCATTGCATTCTCTAGTCCCACACAGAAAGGAGCAGCACGTTGCCCACCCCCGTATGAAATGGCAGAATTTTGCAGAAATTTCCTTCCACACAGAGTAACACTGTACTTATTTTAGCCTGTCCACGCCCATAACACTTGACCTCTCTTCTAGAACTTTCCATGCTTGCTACTGAGAGCTCAGCGTTTATCCCGGATGTGTAAGGACAGGATAAGCGAGCCTTCCAATAATTTACAGGGTGGGTCTGCAATGTTGTACGTAGCACTGAGACCCACCCAAGAGAACCTCCTCTTTCTGCCATGCCCCACATCGTTTTCTTCTTAAATTGCCTCTGTGTCTTTTGGCTAAAACGGTGCCGTATTGATGGGTTCAAACAATCCCCCAGAACAAACCAAAACTGTTCTGTGAGGGAAAGTGAAATTTCCCAGCGGCTCGCTCAGAAGAACCCTCCACAATTCCCAGGCTTCCCTGGAGAGAAGCCATGATACCACAGAGGTTCAAAATGAGTTTTAAGTTTGCAGTGTAGTTGCAGCTTCATTGCTTTTCTATGTTATTATGCCCTACTGTGTTCAATGAGAATAATTCAATCTACATGTGCATAGCAAACATCCCAATGTGTATGCGTGTATATATATAGAGAGAAACACACCCAAAATTATATTCTATTCTCCCCACCCCCAAATTATATTGCAATACAGCAATATGAGCCCCAAATTTAATTCAGTCCCCTACATTCAGACTTCAACCTGTCCACTTAGTGGATTGCAGACACCCTCCGCCCCCCACCCTACCCCCAACACAATCTAGATGGTACCTTGAGCTTGCGGGGCCTTTGGGGCCGCCTGGCAGAGCGGGTGGCGCTGGCATCAGGTTGGGGGGGCCCAGGCTCAGGCTCTAGTGCCAGGTAGTCAGAGGGGAAGGGAGCATAAGGGGGTGAGGCCAGCTGGGTGGGAAAGGGGTGGAGGCGGGGTGGGGAGATGGAATAAGAAATCAAAGTATGAATGATGAGCATGCAAGCCCCGGAAAGGGGTTCCGAGTAAGAAGCCACACACATATAATTTGAGAAATCTATGCCTGTAAGCTTGAGCTGGTGAAACATCACCACCGACCGTCTTAAGATCAGGCCAGAAGACCACCCAATCCAGCCCCCTCCCAACAACAAGTGTTCAGAGGTAGCTGGAGGTTCTACATAGCCGTAGCAGCTAAGTAGCTTTGGGCAGACCTCTCCCCCTCTGCAGATTTGTCTAAACTTTTCTGAAAGCCACCTGAGCTAGTTGCCATCACACCTCAGTGGCAGTGGACTCCACAAGCAATTGCACGTTTTGTGAAGTAATATTTTCTTTGGTCGATGCTGAATCTCCTCTCCATCATTTTCACTGGGTGAGCCCAAGTTCTAGTATTATGAAAGGGGGGGAGTCTCTCTCCACGTTCTCCACACCACGTGTCATTTTATAAATCTCTTACCACAGCCTTCCCTACCCTGATGCCTGCCGGAAGTTTCAGATGACAAGTCCCATCAGCCCCAGACTTACTTCTGAATAGACATGCATTAGGATTGCTTGGTTAGTCATCCCCCCTCCACCCACCCCCCTAAAAGGCATAAAATTTTAGCCCTTCCTTGGTAGAGGAGAGGTTCCAGTTTCTTGATCATTTTGGCTGCCCTTTTCAAGCAAACGCTGAGCCTTCATTGAAATGGGCCTTCTCCTCTTTGAGGGGACCAGATGTACATATAAAACATGACTGACTACCCAAACACTGCATGGGTGCGCATTATTATACAAGGTGTAGGTAACTAAACATCACCCCCCCTCCCCCCGCACATACCAGTATGATGAACTCACTTCTCCCAATACATTACGCTATCTCTGGCCAAGGCAGAGAGAGGCTCCATTTCATGTCTATATAGCATGTTAGCAACCACAAATAAATGCTGTAATAGAAAATAATGAAGCGAAATGGAGGTGGTATGGGAAGGAGAGGGTGAGGAACAGCCTTGGGCATTCTGACATCCATATCCAATGTCAGGCCTTGAAGTCAGGGAAGCCATTTTGAGAGAGAGGCCCAGAGTACTTGTGGCCATAATGAGAAATGGTTATCCTGCTAAACTCAGCAGCAATACCAAAGACACCAGAGTGACCATTTTGAATGCTGGCCAAGAATCTTGGCCAGAGTGGGGAATGGCATTCAAGCGTCTGTCAGCGCAGCCATGGTGGACAGTACACAAGATGCCTTTGTTTCGTCTTGGTCTAAGAAAGCAATGGGAACTTCATTGCTACTCTAATCCCTGACACCATTGCCTCATCTCTATGGTAGGCCATGTTGAAGGTCAGGTTAGCTCAACTAAAACCTAGCCAAGCCATCTCTGACGTTTGAGAAGGACCTTATCCAAGGCCATATTTAAAGCTCTAGGATGACACTTGGAATAGTCATGGCTTCTTCCCCCAAAGAATTCTGGGAGTTTTGTTAAGGGTACCGAGAGTTCTTAGGGAGCCCCCTATTCCCCCCTCAGAGCTACAATTCCCAGGGTGGTTTAACAGTCAATCCCTCTTTCCAGGGATCTCTATCCCTCTCTCTCAGTGCTATAAAGCTATGGGGCAAAGGTGGCCCAAGTCTTTCCCTAGTTCACAGCATTTGAAGGCGGTGCCTGCAAGGTTTGATTTGAGCAGCCCTATCCTACCCAGTCCTTTTACCCAGACAGAAGTGGAGTTACTCACAGAGGTCAAGTATGGAGATGGAGTCCCTGAAGCCGGGAGCCCAAAGCCGGAAGTTGGCTGGAGGGAAAGGCCTGAAGACGAAGGGGATGAAGCGCTGCCAAGCTGCGGACTTTGTTTTCTGTGGGTAGAAGGAGAAAGGAGTTGCCATGCAGATGAAAAGTTGCCACGAGCGGAAGCCACAAGGCCAAAGCACCTATGGGCATGGCTTGCACATGGTGCCAAAGAAATCATACTGAGTGGCTCAGTTTACACATCACACATCTACCTTGTACATGCCTATCATTACTCAATTACAATTGGATTAATATCCCACCTTTCCCTTTAAAGAAGCCCAGGGTGTCAAAATAGTGAATACTTTTTTGTATTCTAAAAAATAAAATAAAATAAAATTCAGAGTTGCCAGGAACAGTGTCTTTCAGCTATCAAATGTTCAGGTAAAATTTCTCCTGGAAGCCAATACTGAGGGAGGGAGACACACCTCACCAGAGAGGGCATTTCACAGACTGGGAATGGCCGCTGGAAAGACCCATCACGGCTCAACACCAACCAGGCAGCCCCCAGTGGCAGCAGCACCACCACCAAGGCTCTATCTGCTGATCATGTCTGTTCCCCACTTGTACTGGGAGGAACCAAGACAGAAATAAATATTGGTTTGGTTTGGTACGTTACGTTTTTTGTGTGCTCATTTTGCATTTTTATGCTGTAAACCTCCCTGCAATCTTCAGATGGAGAACGGTAAATAAATTTAAAAAATGAAATTTAAAAAACAAAGCCATGATAGCTGGCACAGGGTTCAGTCCAACCTTGGGATTACGGTTTGTTTTGCTCCAAAAAAAAACCATCACCAGTAAGCCAAGAACAAAACTTGGCTTGACCATGGTTTAGTTGGGAGTGAAGAAAACTACAGTCCACGGTTCAGGCATAACACAAAGCCAGGAATCACTGTTTATGTTTCCTCCCAGCATGTCTGGGATAGAGGAAAGGAGGGGTGATTTGCTCATGCACAGTAATGTGTGGTTTATGGCTTACTGTGGCATGCAATGGATGATCAGCAAAACAGACATCTTTGCTTTCTGTAAAGATCACCCCCTAGCATATACAGTGGTACCTCGGGTTACAGGCGCTTCAGGTTACAGTCTCCGCTAACCCAGAAATAGTGCTTCAGGTTAAGAACTTTGCTTCAGGATGAGAACAGAAATTGTGCGGCAGCGGCGCAGCAGCAGTGGGAGGCCCCATTA